GGGGCGCGCTTCACACTTTCCCCAGACGACCCCACGACACAATCCTACCAAACTTTTTAAAATCATCCTCATGTTCCGAAAACGTGAAAAATAGCTATAAATTTGACCAATAAATGTAAATATAATAGTCAGTTAAAAACTTAACCATCGCATTTTCTTTATATTAAAATAACTTTTCTTCCGTCAGATTTCTTTATGCATATTTCAGGTATGAGATTAAAATTACAGGTCGTCCTTTAAATTCCGGCAAGCTTTCTTTCATGAATGCGGGTTCTGTTCGATGTTCATATCAAAAACTTTAAAGTACGATACTTTTTGAACGTATTTATGAACAGCGTGACTGTTTGAACATTGGTTTTTATGAAAATAGCCATGTGGACTATATTTCTAAACTATGCAAACGCCAAAGCTCATTGTCGAGCAAAAAGAACATCCACAACGAAAATCTGATATTGTTATGCCTAAGCTCAAGCAAAACATTTTCTATACTAAGTTGACTCTTTAAAAAGCACTAATTAGATATTCAGCTAACGAATATCTGTGTAGGTTATCTTTCTCCAAGTTTAAGTTAAAATTTTGATCAAATTTTTAATTTACCCGAAAATAAATGATACAGTTTTGGCTGGAAATGAAAGACTCACTTTTCTCTTACTATTGGAGTATTTTTCACCATATTTAATTACTTCTAGGCCCCGTTCTAAAATAGCAAAACTGAAATTGTTCATTGTTTCTAGAAAACAACGCAATTCCTTAAAATAGCCGTCACCTGATTTTCGTCAACTTAAGACCAGATCTTCCACATCTGAAAGAGATGCATTTTAAACATTTCATGCTTATATTGGTGATCCGCCATAACTCAGCACATAAGGAAATTTGTTCGATTTCCGGCAACCTGCTATTTCGCCAACATTCTGCCTGTCTCCCTTAAACTGAATTAAACCGGCAGTTTTCCTTATTTAGATGCTTACTCACTATTAAATCCACTCAGCAGATTAAAATACTAAGGCCAACTGTATGCTAAACTACCAACGCCACTTTCGAGCATGACTTAGAATAGGTAGCTGTAGTTTGGTTAAAGCTATAAGCCACTCGGAAAGCACGAAGGCGAACACGTTTTCCAACGCCAGTATCGGTCAGCTGGCCGAGCAATCATCACGTGAACATCCAAAACGGGAGATGAAATTTCATGGATTACGGACGGAAATGCCGGCCACCTTGGCAGGTGTTTGAAATTGATCCCTTCATTTTTTCTGCTCTCCATTCCCACGGGAATTTTCTTACGTGTAGATGGGTTGGCCTATTTTGTCCATTAAATACTAGTTTTTAACCCTCTTTGTTTATTTGAATTACAATAAGGAGGTGATATGCGAACGACGCTAGCATTATCTCGCATATATCCTGCGACCTATTCGCCAAAGGTTCTTCCTGCCGTCAACAGTTGCCATATTCGGCTTTTATGTTTCGTTTGTGATCCTCTGGTGTTCTCTTTTTTTGCCTACCCATTTTTATCCACAGTGGATGGATGATTTTTTGCGGAAAATTGGTAAATTATACTTTAAAATAAGTGCTATCTCTGTCTATCCCACCAGAGGTCAGTCATCCTCGATGACGGCGGAGCCATTAATTATCATAAGTATGTCGTAGTATAGCGACTGAATCCTATAAATACTGCAATTTCCTTTGTATGAATCACCCGTATATGATGATGAGTTCGAACATGAATCCGATACGTCGTCAGACTCATAGAATTTTTGCCCAAGCGATCAAGTCTACCTCTTTTAATACGTTTCCGAGTATAACTCGTTCTAGCTGTCTTTTGCAACTTCTGCGGTTCGTCGTTGCACTGTTGAGTGGAAGACCATGACTATCTAGTCCGAGTTCAGATGTCAACGTCTAAGTTCATGATCCCGGCACACTGTGTTGAGCCTTTAAGGTTGTGCTGACGTGGTTGGCATTAATACTTAGAACTAATTCATGCGCAAGTCACCATCCGTGCACCCCCTTGTTGTGGAACTAACGGTGGAAATCGTCGAATTCGACGGTCGAACTGTCGGTGTGGAGTACGCCCTCTGCTTATGTTTTGAAGTCTAGTCGTCTGCACTATTTATGCTGCTAGTCATTACGTTTCAAGTGCATGCAGTGAGCTATTTTTGACTATTCCAGAGCAAATAAGGGATATTCGTGATCCCGAGCATCCGCACTCTCTAGAGGTCTTAGGTGTCGTTCGTAAAGAACTGATCGAGGTCGACGATGAACAGAGCAAGGTCCTTGTGTATTTCAGCCCGACTATCACGCGGTGTAGCTTGGCAACGTTGATTGGACTATCGATCAAGGTGAAACTCCTCCGATCTCTTCCAAGCCGCTTCAAGGTAATTTTTGTTTTGTTTTGCCCTTAGTTTTTAACCCTCCAACCTTGCTTAAGTTTCTTTGAAATGTACAACGCAGTCTTCTGTATAAGTTATCTATTCACAAATGGTGTTGCGTAAGAGGATGGTGTTTGTGGCCAAACTGTTCAAGGAATTTCAAAAATTTTAGAAAACTTTTAGAGCCCCAACTGTTCAGACCTAATGTCGGATGAAGACGGGCATATGACCTACATCTTCTGCGATCGCACCTTGAAAGCGAAACAGAATTTTGCCGCTGGACCAAGATCTACCCCTGCACCTCTTCAGGAGTACACGATTTAAACACCGACAAGCACCATAGGGGAGAAATTGTAATAGTTTCTGTGCTGACGAGACGATATTTCGCTAAAAATTAGTCCGTCAGTGAACAAGGCTACTCGGCTATGACTAAGTCACGCGAATCCGTAGCTGCATTTATTTAATGTTTTCTGAATATATCATGATCTTATTATGAAGTACTCGTGTCTTGTATTGTGAGAAGAAGCACTGCTAGGAGTGCATTTACGTCTTTCAGGGCATTTATTATCTTGGGAAACTCGGTGTTCCGAACTACTTTCCATATCAGGAAAATGTTTAGGAACCGCTGCCATACTCAGTTACTAAGGCCTACTACCGTGCTAGAGACCCTCTTAAAATGTGGTTTTCGGTTGTAGTTTTTACCCGTGCCCTACAACACAATCATTAGTAAACATTACCGGAAGCACATTGCTCTTCTGGTGCATAAGGGAATTCTGATCACCTTTTTGCAATGTCAGTCTTACCTGAGCGTGTTTTATAATGAGCTTGAGAATAGACTTCGTCCTTTTATTTGCCCACCAGACCTTTTTGCTATCGAGTCGCCTCCGTTAGTCTATTACCAATTTAACCGACCGCAATCATTAACACCTTTGCAGTGACAAAGGTGCTTTCGAATTGGCTCCCTGGAGAACCTTGCATGTTGGCAACACTAGAAGCTAGGATGATACGTCATGAGCATATGCGAACGGACGCTTGCTCAAGGGACCGTTTTATTGTTATGTAATCATTCTACTTTCTATGTGTTAATACAGTTTAATGCGCCAGTGGGCCCAGCGACAAATTTGTTTGATAGTTAACATCGTTAATCAACTTTTCAGGAGGTAATGGCTTGCAACTAGGTACACTGGTTTATATTTGAGTGGACTTCTGTTAATTCTCAACAATTGTGTTAATGCCAAAAGGTACGTGTCGAGATAACACCCGGCACGCACGAGACAGAAGAGGATATAAACAAGCAACTTGCGGACAAGGAGCGAGTGGCTGCCGCTATGGAGAATCCAAACCTGGCCAAAATGGTGAACATCTGCCTCGAGGGATGCTTCTGAACTGCTGTCAGAAACCCTTAGTCGCACGTTCTTCCTTCCTTTACCTCAGGTCTACTTTTTATTTTGCTGCACATGCTGTCTCGAATTAAATTGAAAAATTAAAACTGCCATTTAAAAGTTGCCTTTTTTCTTTATTAAAAAGTGAGCAATGGGAATACTTTTTCCCCAAAATCAGGCACGCATACAACAGAAAGATTGAGTTGTCTCAAATGACTGAGCAAGAAAAAGAAAGCTAAGGTCAGAGGGAACACACAGGAAAATAAGGCTGTCGAATACAATTCTCAACCCTTTGTGTCGTAACCTACCTCCTCGTAGTCTTGTTCCAGGGCGGCCAGGTCTTGCCTCGCGGTAACAAAGGTCTCCTCTTCAAGTCCCTCTCCTACATACCAATGCACAAAGGCGTGTTTCTTGAACATCAGATCAAATTTGCGGTCGATGCGTACAAAGGCCTCTACGATGGCCGTACTGTTGGCCAGCATGCAACATGTTCGCATGACCCTTGCCAAATCCCCACCGGGCACGGCTGCCGTCGGCTGACTGTTGATGTCTACCTTGAAGCCAGTCGGACACCAGTCCACAAATTGGATCGAGCGGGAGGATTTGATCGCGGAGGTGGCATTGTTCACACTGGAAGGATCCACATCTCCTCGGTAGAGCAGACAGACAGACATGTACTTGCCATTCCGCGGGTCTACCTTGACAAAACTGTTGGCCGGTTCGAAGCAAGCCTTTGTGATCTGGTCCACACTATTCTGTTCATGATAGGCCTTCTCAGCTGCCACAATAGGGGCAAAAGTTATCAGGGGAAAGTGAATCCGCGGATAGGGCACTAAGTTTGTCTGAAACTCAGTGAGATCGCCGTTTAGTTGCCCATCAAATCGCAGAGCGGCAGTGAGGGAGGAGATCACCTGTGCAAGGATGCGGTTAATGTTGGTGAACGAGGGTCGTCGAATATCGAGATTACGCCTGCAGATCTCCCAGACTGCTTCATTGTCCATCAAGAAGACCACTTCAGACAGTTCGATGCAAGTGTGGGTGGTGAGGACACTGTTGTAAGGCTCCACAACGGCAGAGGCAAGACGTGGGGCAGGGTAGACGACCAGTTCGATCTTAGTGCGTTTCCGGTAGTCTTCTGAGAGGCGGCTGATTAGCAGTGAAGCAAAACCCGAGCCGGTACCGCCACCCAGAGAGTGAAAAATGAGGAATCCTTGGGGCATGCTGCAGGTGTCCATTACTTTACGAATCCGATCCATTGTTAGCTCAATCATCTGTTCGCCGACAGTGTAGAAACCGCGGGCGTAATTATTGGCTGCATCTTCCTTGCCGGAAATCAGCTGTTCTGGGTGGAACAGTTGGCGGTAGTATCCCGTGCGGATTTCATCTTTGCGTAGAGAAGAGAAATAACTGATGACAAAATACGCTGAGAAGACTGAACTGATTTTTTTTGTGAAACTGAAAATCCGGCTCGAAAAATAGATAAACTGAGTGCTTAGCATGTACTGCAGTTTGCGGGCTGATTCTAAAAACCACGAGCCCTTCGGCGGGACCCAGTAGTGGAAGTCTTATATGTCAAGGGTTAATGGCAAATAAGGTGCCCTCGGTTCCATTTTGAGAACCACTTGTCTTCAGTGGAATAACAGTCAAGCCTAAGAGCTCTGAATAGAGGACGTATGTGACGCAAGTAAACAGTCTAGGGAGTCTGCATATGAAATGTGTGCATATAAGTGCCGTTGAGGACGTTACCTACCAAATCATAGGTTCCCCACGGACTGGCGAGCTATCCGTGGTTCGATTTCGTCCGAGGACACTATTTTCGATTATGTAAGTTACGTATGTAACCTCATCTGCTAACTGACTTAACGGCTTAATTTATACTATGGATTGATTATAGTGTGTTGACAAGAGATTCGTGGGACGCGGGATGGGCAGCCTGTACCTTACAGGGGTGTATGTACGAATTTCATGGCATTTTAAAGGCTCGTCAAATACATTAATTAATCGTCTGTCGATCAATAGCTAATTCAAAGGGGTACTTGCGCGATTCCCTCATATTTTCGCTCATTTTACTACTTTGATTTGCGCAGAAACGAAAGAAAGTAATCGAGGCATAATTCTCAATGTTCTCTGACCAATGAGAACACGCGAATCTTTGTAACATCCTAGTGCGATCCTCCTGATCCACCCAAGTGGTGAGTGCTACCTTTTGACGGAGTCGTGTCAAGACCCCAAACACAGATCGTTTAAGAGGAAGGGGCTTGCAATGGTTCGGTGTGTGACCTGGTTTAGGAAATACGATCATGCAAACGCTATGATACAGCTAGAGAAAAAGAACTTAGTAGCTTTAAACCTGCAAGCCGAAATCCTTCAACTCACCGATGACAGTTGGTTCCAAATCCACAATAATACTCCGCGGTACGAATTTTCCGTGACCAGTCTCGTTGTAAAAAGTCAGAAAGGAATTGTCATCAGGCTGGTATCCGTCATAATATAATCCGTCCGGCCGAATTCCATGCTCGAGTCCGAATAGTTCCCAACACGCATTTCCTATCTGGACTCCAGCCTGCCCTATGTGGATGCACACGACCTCTCTTACGGCCGACTATTTGAAAGATGGCTACATTTTTTAAATAAAGAATTACCTTGGCCATCACCGCTCAGATGCGCCCCGGCAAACGGCCGCCTGGTCTGACCGCTCGACGTAATTATCGATCGATTTGTTGAATTCGGGATGCACGTGCCCACGCCGCAAGATGGTTGATCTGTGCTCCACGCACGTGATCAGTACCTCTTGACTGGATTTCTTCAGTTAATCTATATACTTAGACTTCGGAACTAGCTTTTTCCTCTATAATCTACTATTTTTAATAGTAGTAATGGTCAACCATTTTGGCAACGCATCCGTCTTCGACGTCAGTTCCAAGACTTTTTCGACACCGAGGGTTAGTGCCGGTCCAGATCATATTCTCAGGATTACCCGCTAATATATTGCTTTTTGCCTCCTAAGGCTTCTTCGTCGCGTTCGCTTTTATACTTGTGTAGAATTAACATGCAAGTTACAGTAGAGTTTTTCCACTAACCGTTACTTTTACGGTGTGAAGGAAAGACTGATTTCAATAATGCCCACTGTTGATTTTTATTCTTGACTGGTGTTACCTAAAAGAAGGACTCGCCAAGGCGTCGCGATCCCGCGATCCGTCGGATTTGGCCAAACCATTTAAAGTCTTATGAGGGGCGTTCAGCGCTGGGATCTGGACATAATAGGGAGTCTAACTCTGTCCCTATTCTATGCTGCAACTAGACCGGAACGAAATTGCCACCTGGTCCTAACTGTCTCCGATCAGGAATGATGCAATCTGAACTCGTAACCCAAATGAACCCAGATTGATACTTCACGTATTTTTAACCCTTTTTTAATGTATGACCGGCTGACAGTTGCAGTACAGTTAGAAATTATAATTCAAAACGCCCCGACGTGTTACAGTACTACCCATCGCTTCATTGTTAGCTGAAGCCATGGAGGGAGGGGACGTCTGTCGGTGGGTAGTGGAACTGCATTCAAAGACGTATAACTGTAAAACGGACGTCCTTCCGGATCTTAAGATGAGTATACGGCTACCTATCACTGACGAAAGTCTTGCCAGGATGCGGAGGTTTTATCTCTTGTACGCCGATTTTGCTGCAAAATGCATGAAAACCTACACAGCACGTTGATATGACAGATCTGCCCCGCCATAAAACAAGATATTTGGCTACCACCAACATGCGCCCAGGTTTCCATGAGCGGCGACCTGAAGGTTCTGCCGAAAAAAATGCTCCCGCAAAAGATGGCAACCTTTTTGCAGTACATAAAGCCTATACTGACACTAACAGTTTAACTTTAAGAAGTAATGGAACGATTAGTAGTTTCACCACCCGAACTTATATGTGCTTTCGCTGATCCTCTAGAAGGGAAATAGGAAGAGATGTAGGAAGTGTCTCGTGGAAAGACCCAGATACGCTTTTACTCTCATAATGTTTGGTGGTTTTGACATGGGTATAATCCAAGGCCCTGCAAGCCGTAGTGTCATTTACGCCTTCAGCCTACGGTTAATATTTATACCTGGTACGTACAAGCATCGCTTTCACTAAATGCGGTCGGTCAGTCTATTTGTCGATTTTTCAGTGTCGATAATGGCACGCATCCTCACAAGTTCATCAATAAGGCCCGTGTCTAGCTAGCTGGCGTGCATCGTTAGCCGGCGCTTAAAAAGCAGCGTTTGCGTATCAGTCTTCTGTGCAGAATACCTTCAGTCCCTTTATCGATTTCTTTCGTCTTTTGCTGTTTACCAGAGCTTGACTCATGAAGTTTGGTGCTTAGGTTGTTCCCACCATCGTATCCACTGGGTTTCAAGAAGGTAGCAATGGCAATCATTACCTGGCAGTCCTCTGCTGCCTTTCATTCTCTGAAGCGTTCCATTCCTTTCTTCACGCGTTGCTAGGAAGCCAGTGTTACATGGTTCATCCATTTAGATGGCTGTCCAGATCAGAGTTCCTGTCTGCACCAACCATTAACAACAGTCTGAGTCTCATCATACATCCGCTGATTATTTCTATTAAATTACCTGGATCCTAATAGTAATTCAGCGCGATCCTGACTGTTTTGAACGGACTGCCGGATAAGCCGTGGGCATCTTCTTACCAGTAAGAATTTGAGACTTTCTAAATGCTACTGACAAAACAAAGAAAAATAAAATGAAAATGTTTGGCCTACTGATGGAGGCAAACAGGCGAGCTCCATGAAGCAGTTCAGAGCAAAGAGATTTGATCGCTGGAACAGGAATTCTATTAGCCTAACGTTTTGGATACTCGCTCGAACCCCGTAAAGGGTAAAAGGGCACAAGGCGCGTGCTACTTATAGGACGCAGTATTCAGGCGACCACATGCCTACAATAAGTAGCAGTCCTCGTGCTAATCGCAAAGGGTCGTAAGTGATGCGATTATTATTTGTCAATCCCTAACCGAGTCGTTAATCTTCATTATTTAATCAGCTTTGTTCGTTCCTAGTGTGACGATTACTCGGCCACTTGGCTGGCTGTCACCGTGACTGATCCTTGCCCAGACCATCCCCGCGTGGCTAGTAATTTTGTCAGGGCAAAAATTCAGCATAAAATACGGAGGCGGGCGGTCATTGTGCCTGGTACTTAAATGCGGTACTGATAATATTGACTCAAGCAGGTCGCGACTCATGCGGTTGTCACCTCTTGCAAACATATCAGCCTCACGTTTTTTCTCCTATAGTTTTTTGTAAATCAGTGGCCCGCTGAACTCATCCACTGATCTCCTATAGTTTTTTTGTAAATCGGTGGCCCGCTGAACTCCTCCACCGACGGAGTTTTTTTTACTGCCGGTGACAATTAACTCCTCCACCGACTTAGGAGTTTTTTTTACTGCCGATGACAATTATTTTTTTAAGAGTTCACTTTTTATAATTATTTAATTTTTATTTTATGACAATTATTTTATAAGAGTTCAATGTTTATCATCATTATTTTTATTTTCAGCACTAAGTTTGTAACGACAGGGCCCCTTGGGCCTTAAATATACAAATTATTAATTATTATTATTATTATGAGGGCGTGGCCGGGTTCCGTCGACTGAGCCGCGATGTGGGATTCAGCGTTCCTCCTCCTCGTCTTCCTCACTGCTGCTGCATGCTCGGCCATTCGCATTCGGATTAGTCGCCCAGTTTCTCTGATGGAGCTACTTTGTCCGCAACTGCACCAGGTCTGGTAAACGGCTCCAGAAATTTCCTACCATGCAGGTTCTTCTAACATTAAGTGCTGAGTAAAACGCTACCAATGAGCTACGAGCTTGTCGACGGCGACCGGGAATATTCGTTCACAAGAGGGTAACGGTCATAGTTTGTTAAAGATTAAGGGACAGTGGTCACGACGATCCCATAGTCTGTCCTGAAATCAGGATACAGTTATAGTGTGGCTTGAGGAACGTCGTTTTGTATACGAACGAAGTTACCATGGTAGTTTTTTGCTCACAAACGGGACCAGACCCTAAGTGCTCTCCCGTATACTTTAGCAGCTTGTGACAATATTGTCTTCTTACAGCTTTGCACTAAGAGAACTGAATAAGTTAAGAAATCAGTACCAGATGGACATCTCACAGGGATAATGCTGCCACTTGTGTCGATGCTGTCGGTAGGGTATTGTCAGCTTTCGAAGTTCTTGTAGAGTAATCGTGATATGACAGTCAGTTGATGGGGAAATTTGTTTTTGCTTGACACCTGTCCGGTCAGCCCTCAACCCCGATTGTGAATGCTGGCTTATGTGCGTGGAGTGCCCCCTAAACGGGCCGCGTGATAAATATGCTGGACCAACGCCGGGGCCAGATCAGGGTACGGCAGACGTTATTCGGGTTGCGCTCCCATAACAGAAGCCGAAAATGAGGGGGGCGTGGTGGCACGTATAGGGGCGGCTTCGGTCGCGCCAGCCGTCTGCACCCCATCCCGTCTCCGACCCTCTTGACTGTGGCTTGACGCCGGACCCAGTTTGGTGAAGGAAGAGAGAGTACAAT